TGCTTGACATTGATATTTTATACAAGTGCAATTGTGGTTGTCAAATCCGGGTGGGCGGAAAAAATTATATATTTTAAGAGCCCATGGCTTTTGCTGACTTTGACAACCAAAATCCGCCATGTTTTTGACCACGGGCCGCGCACTAATATTTTATAGCAATTTCGATGGCGTGTTCCCTCCAGGTCTCATATAATTCAATTGTCCAGTCCTGAGAAGGAATTTTTTGTTGTTGTTGACTGACATTTCGACAAAATTAGCGGAAGTCATCTTCGAAGTCAAATGAGGAGTAAATGTCAGAGTAGCCGTATTTTTTATCTGCTTCTTACGTCATTGTACTGTGTGTACAGGAAATGTGTGGGTGTCAATTGTGTGAATTAGTGTGAAGTGTAATGTTTTAGTTGATCACTTGTTTGTATTGTGAATAAGTTGCTTGTAAGGTGTTGTAATTGCTGTGATCTGTTCAGCCACGTTTGATCCAAGTTGGTACACCAACTTTCTAATGTAAGCCGTTGTCTATAGTCAGTACTGTTAGTAATGTATTTTGCCGAGTCGTTCACATAGGAACTGGTTGAAAACTTTGCTTCGCTAAATGACAACAGAGGCTCTTTAATTCGCAAAATTTAATGATGTACATCTCGTAGCGTTTGATGATACCGTTTTCAACTTACTATTGTTTATCAAAATGTCTTTCTGATTATTTTTCTAAGTCGATTTGTTTTGTTTCTTCACTGATATAATAAAGACTTAATTTAAAATTATTATGATAGTAGCGGTGTGAATAACAAAGTGTTGTTACATAAGTAAATTTGTAGCAATCTTCCATAAACGTCATTGTAGATGAAATTTTGGTAGCCGTAGTAGGATTCTGTAATATTTCTACATTTTTTAAGAAGCAGCAGCATCATATAATCTCCAATTAATATTTGTTTCAAAACAATGCTGGTTGACCTTGTACCATCTCAATTTTTTGGCATTATATAGCCAAGAAGACAAACTTTTTCGGTTTAAATATCTTTGCGGCTGGTCTGTCCATTTCACAAAAATTTTGCTCGAATCAAAAGTTTGTAGAACGAATAAAAACGCAAGAACTGTGATTTTGTAATACAAAAGTATAGTAAAGTGGGACCGATACCCCCAACGAAGGTCATAATCAGATGAGCCAACTTCCGGCTTAAATTATCTCACTATATTATATACATGGATGCGTCATTCATTGTAATACACCTATCATTGGACAAAACCTATGGAGAAAACAATGAACTCTAATACAACTGGAAGGCTAACTCAATATACAAAAGCCTTTGCTGAAGCCACTTAGAAGCTGATTTGCCGCTTTGCGTGTATCTCAGGTGGACTGTTTTATTTTGCGTGACGGATTGTTTTGCAAAAACTGCTAACTTGGAAATACAATGCTAGCCTAAATGTTTTAATTTTTTGAAAACCATTCGCAAAATTTGGTTATTAATGTGTTAAGATGCATTGTGGACGTTCCAAGGCATGTTTTGTATACGTAACGCTGTATTATATAAAACACAAAAGTGTTTTGAAAAATTAATTTCTCATTTGTCGTCGAAAGACCAAAAATTTAAGATAAAACTAATAACAGGTAGTCTGTATCTTTGAATGATGTGTAAAATACACGCAATCCACTTAAAATAACATGTTTCATAACAATTTTATTGCTTTTAAAGTTAGACTTGCTTTGTAAGAATTTCACAAGCGTGTGAAAGTGATGATTTGAAATTTTGAACTGTGGGTGATTGTTGGTTCTTGTCATTTACTTCTCCCACTTCTTGAGAACTGGTGGAAGATTTGACATGCATCCATATTTGTGTATTGAGCATTTTATCAGCAATTTCATGCTTATAAATAAATAGCCAAGTGTACAACATGACAAGTATTGCTAATATAACCTGCTCTAAATAAATGCCAAAAAGCAACCCTCATCCTTAGTGGTTTGAGCCAGGGTTGTAAAATCATTATAAAGCATGCAAAACTATATCATGTATCAAAATTTTATAGTATATCATATTGATTGTAAAATTAGTTTTTTCTTGTAATACAGATGATGATAAATGCTTATGTAATATATTAAATTTTAGGATGTGTGTTTAAAATATTAGGTCATATTTGTGAAAATATATGATGATTCTATAATATTGGACTAATAATCTTTTTCATACTTGTATTACATTACAATTTTTACTGAAGTGTTTCAAAAGTTATAAATATGGAGTGTCATTTGTGTTTTTGTTTTTTTTTAAGTGGGCATTTAACCTTTTGTCTCTTTAATGGTGCAATTAATAGTAACACAATAATATGGCATAACACTTTTTTTAAAACGAACTCAAAATATTTTTTTGCTAACTTTTTGAAATATTTTGCAAAGTGATTTTCTTTTTGTTTACCCTCTGAACTTTCAAAAAGGACTGGGGCGAGCTAATTTTGCTCGGAAACACAAAAATTACCGAAAAACAGCGTCTTCTGCCCTGACAGCTTCATTTTCAAATTCCAAACATTGTTTAAGGTATTTAGACATTAAGCTGGCCCGAAGACCACTGTTTTTTGCAAAAAATCCGGCAATTTCGAAGTGATGTATTTCGTCTCCGTACCCTCAATGGCGGCGATCATGCAGGCTTCAAAGATGGCGGCCAAGCAGTGAACTCCATATATATATATATATATATATATATAAAGATAAACGTTTCTCCGGATTTTAAATGATTTTTATTGAGCTTTCGACTCGTTGCTTCGAGCCTTCATCAGAATGAGGATATTTATTTACACGTGTTTTTAGCACGCATTTCACCCCATCCAATCACATTAATCCACCCACTAATCCAATTAGACGCTCTAAACGTCTAATCCAATTAGACGCTCTAAACGTCTAATCCAATTAGACGCTCTAAACGTCTCCAAGCTAAAAACACGTGTAAATAAATATCCTCATTCTGATGAAGGCTCGAAGCAACGAGTCGAAAGCTCAATAAAAATCATTTAAAAATCCGGAGAAACGTTTATCTTTTATATATTCAATGCCTGGATTACAAATTTTCAAACTTATATATATATATATATTGATGAGAAGAAGAAAATACACAAAAACTACAATTTCATCCCGACAAGCCTGTTTCGTGATTTCTCACTCTTCAGGGGATAATATCACTGTACTTACGGAGATTCAAATAAACAAAACTTCCTATATATATATATTATCCTCTTCAGGGGATAATATTAAAAAGTTTTTAATATTATCCCCTGAAGAGTGAGAAATCACGAAACAGGCTTGTCGGGATGAAATTGTAGTTTTTGTGTATTTTCTTCTTCTCATCAATATATATATATATATATATATATAAGTTTGAAAATTTGTAATCAGGCATTGAATATATAAAAGATAAACTCCGGATTTTAAATGATTTTATTGAGCTTTCGACTCGTTGCTTCGAGCCCAATAAAAATCAATAAAAATCAATAAAAATCATTTAAAAATCCGGAGAAACGTTTATCTTTTATATATATATATATATATACATCTGGAATGATAACGACAATACATTTTATAGATATAAAATTGAAGCCAAAGTCCTAGTCTCTTGCGCGGCTTGTACGTCAGTTCCAGTCCTTCAAAGTCGAATATTCACGCGGTTTGTACGTCAGTTTCACTCCCCTGAGTGCCAAACATACACGGCCAATATAAATTTGAATAAAAATTTCAAAAGTATAAACATATAAACAACATCACGACAAACAACACACGAGGCCAACTCTTCGCAAAAGGTTATTTTTTACAGCTGAAACTTTACTACAGTGAGTTCGTTGTAACTTACAACTTGTAAAGAGGAAAAGCCAATTGAAAATTACACTGTATGCTAAAAAGACAATACAATAAGAAAATATGACAAAAAATATTCAAGCAAAAAATTTTCTTACATCGGAAGGTAAATTTTCAAACGGTGTCAGACAGTGTTTGTCTTTTTTTGTCATTTCAGTGGATTTAAAGTTCTGTTTTTCCGAAGAAAAAAGAAACTTGAATATCCAGTTTCATAAAAAATAACTCGAGTCTATAACTCGCATTTTTACTTTTTACAGAGCGATTGTATTTTTCATCGATTTTGATAGTGCTTGAAATGCTAAATGGTTGTCATCTCGACATCAATAATTGAATATCCTTAAAAACTTTGATATGTTTTAAAGGAAAACCGCAGCGTAAGAGCAGATCGACTAAGTTCACCTCACCTTGCTTCTCGATTTATCACTTTGATTCACTTTCCATGAACCTTTTCCTTCCAAAAATTTCGTTATTTTTACGCTCTGATCAAGATCCGAACTCTACCATTACCAAGGGACAAATGATTTAAAAAAATTAAAATGAACACGCGAGAGACTAGAGCCTGACGTGTGATGACGAATAATGATAACAAATATTTTTTTGGCTTCAATTTTTGGCTTCGGTTATCAATCCAGTTATTCAAATGTCGAGTTCACTGCGGCCAAGTTAGCCTTCCAGTTGTATTAGAGTTCACTGGGACAAAACCATAGGAGTTAGGTTAGCACTATTTTTCACCCAGCAAACCGCCCTTTACTTTGAAATATAATATTTTACCCAATATAATATTTTACACAATCGTCGAAAAACGACATTTTCCAGCCTGGATTATAAGTTTCTAACTTAAGGTGGTTGCATGAAAATTTATACTGCAACATTTATCTCTAAATATTTTCATATGTTGATTTTAAAAACTGTATTATAAAAAGATAAAATTACTCGCCATCTCAAAACGACCTAGCACCAGTGCATGCATGGTTTCCTTTTAGCTTTTGGTTCTTTCCCATTAGCCGCCATCTTTAATTTATTTCCGATTGTGTAAAGTAAAGGGCGGTTTGCTGGGTGGAAAATAGTGCTAACCTAGGAGTTAGCGCTCCAGATGTATTTACTTCATTGGCCAGAGATCGGGCCTCCCTATTTGTTCGTGTGCTCCGCGCGGGAGGACTCTACGTGGCGTAAATTCATGTTGTTGAACGGATGGTTTCACAACAGCCACATCGGAATCACCATTCACGTCAAAACATGGCTTTATGTTGTATATTTATGAATTGCAATGCGAAAAACTGCCGTGGTAATTATGGCTGATCAATCCAGACTCGATAAGATTGCCGCAGCGAGAAAAAAGGTTGATCCATCATTTATTTCTGAAGAATGATTTTTCTCATTTATCGTATTGAACTTTTGAAGTCATAATCCAATATTGTATATTGTCTTTCATTTAGCTGAAGAAGTTTCAGTTGAAGAAAGCACCGTTGTTGAATTCACCAAAGATTCCGGATGTCGACGAAACTGAAGATAAGAGGCATGAGAATAAATCTGTGAGTTTAATCTTCACGATGAGCTAGGAAAATTATACATTATCAAACGTTCACAAACCAAACAATAACAAAGTATGAGTTTCACATGAATTCTTTGTTTTAATTTTGAAAATTCTCTGTTCAATGTCTTGTTTAATGCTTCATACGTATTTCAAGGTTGCCCTGTATTGAAGATAATAATTCAGAGTACAAATATCATAGTGTAGTTATTTATCGTTGAACATCAAAAGATTAGGTATTGTACATCATATGATTGATCAATGTTATTGCACAGTCATCATTTTACTGTTAATTTATATATTGTAAGTTGTTATTTTCAACTGATTTGTTGCATTTTTCTCCTTTCGTAACATGTTCAACGACTTTAGTCTCTACTGCATTGAATTGACTTAAATTTTGATTAAATCTATCTTCAAATGACAATGTGCATATAGTATGGTAAGTGTACAATCAACAGTTGAAACAGTTGAAAACGATGTAGAAATCTTATCTTATTGTTCTTCAAAAGTAAGGAGGACTTCTTTGAAAATATTCTTATCAAATCACTTATAAGTCAATTCTAACAATTAACATATTTTGCATTCTCTTGACTTATTTAAACATATAAATGTGTGAGCTTAATGAACTGTAACATTTGTTAATATTGATGGGAGTTTCTATGTAATATTTTTTGTGGCAGAAAATCAAAATAGAAATGTGTTATTGATGTTAATCGTTTGCCTGCTCAGTACAGTGCTCAAGTCTTGTTTTTCAAACTTCAGGATGTACAAAGTCCAGAAAACCTGACAGAAAGCTTGCAAAATGGATCAGATTCATCACCATCTGTGTTGAAAATCAAGCAAATGGTATGTTATCCATTGCATAAATTTTGATTTATGTTTTTCATTTCTAAGGAAACTTACTTCACTATATTAATACTGTGCAAACTCCAACTTATGGTATTGATACAGTCACCGTATTAATACAGTCACAGTATTGATACACTCACAGTATTGATACAGTCACCTTTTTTGTTGTAGTAACACACTAATATTTTATAATATGTTTACCTGGTCAATAATAGCTACCCGTTTTGTAAATACTGTTAATAACCATGTTGTAAAGTCACAACCCAAAGGAACCTCTCCACCCTCTTTATTTAGTGAATCAAAATTTTACTACGATTTGAGATACTTATTTTAGAAAACATCATCATAATTGCATTATATTACTGAGTAAATATTTAAGTCACTAATTTTAGTTGACTGCTCAAAGCAATAGAATAACTATGAGGCTTTTTATTTTCATCTAGCTCTAATTTTTTTTCTGGCAGATTTGCTTGTGTGTGTTTTTTTGTTTCAACACTGATAGTTAAATTAATGTCAATATCCACAAGTTTCCTTAGTGTTTAGTCATTAATTTTGTTATCATATGGGATGGTAACATTGTAATTTTCAATTAAACTTTCCAATATAATTGTAATGATAAAGTAAATGGTTTCCTGTACACAAAATACAATGATGTAAGAACCAGATAACAAATACGGCTAACCTGACGTTTACTCCTCATTTGACTCTGAAGATGACTACTGCTAAGGTTGTGGAAACGTCAGTCAACAACAACAAAAACAGTCCTTCTCAGGACTATACCAACCTGGAAGATCTATATTTACAAACATATAATTGTAATGATGTTATGCTTAATCTAATCTCACAAATTTTTATTTGGGCACCCTGTTTATTTTGGTCTGTTGGTGACCAATTTTGATCGACATGAATGCACAACAAACTGCTTGACACCTTTGAGTAGGATTGCTTACATAGTATTACTGGGAATAACAGTTGGGTTATGTTATGTTTCAAAGTACCATTTCTTTTTGATAATTTTACACAAACTTTTGTCAGATGCTGTTTCAAAGTTTTCTGCAGTTAAGATTAAAATTTTTTGTACTATACATATTTAACAAACTTTCTGGATGGTAGGAAATGTTGTCTTACATTAGACTGCTGGGTAATGATGACGTAAAATTTGAAGCTCTTTTGCATGGACAAGATTTTTAATAATAGGGATGCTATTGTGGACTACGATATACAGGATGTATAAAACAAACTAGAAAATTTTAAAATGTCTAGAAAACTGTCATTTTATCAAAACTTCTCATTTTACGTCAAAGTATTTTAGGATCGTTCGAATTTATCTCCGCCTCTTACGTACATAATTGATCAAGATGTTCGTCATAAAATACAAATGGAATATTTTACAGCTACATTATGTATAAATCTCTTTTTCTTTTTTAACAGCTCAAACAGCTTAATGGTTTTTCAAAGCAGGTATTTTCTTTTATTTATTCATTCATCACACGTGTGGAAAATTTGTCTGTGTTAACTACGTACAGGTTTTTCCTCGGGCTACCAAAGATAAGCCAGAAGAATCTTTAGTTTAAAAATCGGTTTCGCGATTACAGAAATCACGCGCGAATGGCACGAATGCCTTGAACCCATTAAAATCTTTCTTGGATCGCCAGGTTGCACAAATCAGTTAGCGTCACTAATGGCATGTAAATTGAAACATGATTGACGTGATATATTGCCTCATGTGAGAATGCATTGCCGTGAATTTCGTTGTGCTATTTGACAACTATTACAAAACGCAAATATTAACCATACAGTATTCTTGCCAAGTAGCTTAAGTGAACGCATGAAAGGCGCTTTGTTTCTCTTTATTTCTCGCGATACGTTGGTTTTTACTTATCAAACATTCACACATAATTTTTATGTTTGAAACAGAAAAACTTGGTTTTTTATGTGAAAAAATAGCGAAAAATGTTTGTCAATTTACAATGAAAGTGTATACCATGACTTTCAGAATATTTGTCATGAAATCCAGTAGCTGATCTAGCGTCAGTCGCAGTAACTTATAGCTTCTCGATTTTAAATTCAAAATACTTTCAGAACAATTGTATTTGTTAAGTTTTACTCACAGAGATGCCTCTAAAGTGTTTGCAAAGGCAAATATATGCACGAATGAGCACCACTATTTTTTACTGGAAGCTGGAAAAACTTCTGTATTACAAAAATTCTTGCTAAGTTCAAATATAATCATGCTAAGTGTAAATGTATTCATGGTAAAAATGTATTCATGCTAAGTAGAGCATAATGGTATAATCGTTGATTAATAAGGGGCCTGGACCCAACTGTTATTGTTGTTTGTCATAGATAAGACTTAGTCTATTTCACGAAATGAGGATCTTGTAAAATATATATTGAGAGACAAAATACAAAGGTCATTCGTTTACGAATGACAAACAACAATAACAGTTGGGTCCAGGCCCCTTATTAATCAACGATTATCCCATTATGCTCTACTAAGGTCAAATTATATTCCATGCTAAGATCAAATATATTCATTCTAAGGTCAAAAAATTCATGCTAAGTTAAGAATTCATGCTAAGTGTAAGAATTCATGCTAAGTGTAAAAATTCATGCGAATTAAACTTCATAGTCTACCCGCAATACATCTGAAAAATTGTAGGGTAAAACTCAAACATTGCACAATCCTAAAGACAAAGTATGGTAGAAAGGAATGATTTCTCGAGTTTTTTAGATATTTTAAAGGGTATTCTTTCTCAAATACAAAACTTTTTTCAAGAAGGGCCACTTATTGATAACTGATCTGGCCGTTCTTGAAAACTTATCAGTAAAATGGACGAAGCATGTGATACTCGGGTAGTGTTACTCAACGGTTTGAATCCAGCAAAAGAAGATTTTCAATATGAGCAAGCAAAATTTATTCTTCCATTGAAATGCTTTGACCTTAAGAACAGCACCTGTTCTTCGTGGATATCAAAGCGAGGAAATTAGAACAGTTTATTGCTGTACAAGCAATTCGTACCTACATATTTGACTTACATACTTTCTCCCATAGAAAATATTTTGCTGGATTCAAATCATTGAGTAACACTGCCCGAGTATCACATGCTTTGTCCATTTTCACGGATAATTTTTCAAGAGCATCCAAGGAAATAAATCACTTATCGATAATTGGCTCTTCTTTAAAAACGTTTTGTCTTTGAGAAAGAATACCCTTTATAATATCTAAAATATCTGAGAAATTTTTCGTTTCTGCCATATTTTATCTTAAGATCATGCATTGTTTGAGTTTCACCAACGATTTTTCAGGTGTATTGCGGGTAGACTATGAATTTTATTTAGCATGAATTTTGCACTTAACATGAATATATTTGAACATACCATGAATATATTTCCGATGTAGCAGTTTTGTCCTCTTTGGCGCCTCATACACTAGATCCTTTACTGCATAAATTTTCATTTTTAAGGAACAAGTGAATACAGATGATCCAATTATTACGGAAATAGGAGCTTTAGAAGTAAGTTTTTTAGCTAGTTTCACGTGTGGTGTTGAGACATTGATATGCAGGATGTAAGGAATCACCTGCATCTGGATACTCTTTTTATTAATAATATACTTTGAAATATTTCTCGACTTTAATTGGTTGATTCCACTGCAGTTTATCTGAAATTGCACTGTGAAAATGGTTATTTGCACTGTTAAAAAGCTGTAATTGCTCTGTAGTAAAGTGTAATTGCACTTTAAATACTGTAAACAAACTTCTTTCCAATTCCAAGAAAAACCCATGGTAGCAGTTGTAAATAAACAAAGATTTCTATTTCAGTTATATTTATTGTTTATAAAAACGTTGTCATGTCTTGTTTGTAAAAACGTTGTCATGTCTTCTTCGTTTTAAATCCTGCGATTCCTTTCAAATTGTAGCGAAGGAATTCAGACTTGGAACGGAACTTGACCTCTCATAAGAGAAACAACGAACAGCTTGGTAATCAGGTGAACGAACAGGTTTGGCTTGAGCTTATATATAGTAACTAAAACATTTTTGTTATACATTTTCTACGTTTATTATTTCTCCATTTGAAAATGTTGTTGTCTTCTCATGTCGGTTTGTGTGTCATGAAATTTTTCCCGCGAATGCTAAAATATCCGTGTTGTACTGCCCGTGGCTGCAGGCTAAAACAATTTTCAGGGCGTCTCAAATATTGTTTCGATGTGTAAGCTGCACAAAGTTCGTTATCATGAATTTCTGGCAGTAATGGATTAACAGGAGGGTTGTTCAGTGTGCACACCTCCTACATACGTAGTCTTTGCCGAGAGGGTAATTACTTAATGGGTAATAGTTTCCCTACAAAATATTAGCTAATACACCCAGCGACTAATTAAAAGTAAAGCAATTGTGATCAGTTCTCAATGCAGCACTCTTCAAAAAACACTTAATCATAATGAAATCGTAACAGGATTTAATAAAAAAGTTGGACATGGTACGGTGGCACCGATTAGCCACCAAATTATAACACAATAGTACCACTATAGAACACCCACCTGACAAACCATTGTAGATCCTCTGCCTTCTTGAAATTTATTTTACAAATCTAAAAACGGAGAACTTTGTATTATGTGGATTAACGTTGTGTTCGTTTTGTTGTAAAGTATCAAAAGTATAGGCAAATTAGATTTTGTAATTGCTGCTACGAGTTTTGCGATTTTTTTTAATTAAATTACTCTATCAGCAGCAGTTATGTAGCTCTCTATCCAGGGTTCGTGCTACTGACTCTTTTGTTTGGAAGTGCTCTTCATCAGTTGTAATTAAATATTTAGATAATCGTGTTTATGTTTTTTTCGTGTGTTTTCAGAGGAAACAAATAATCCTATTGCAAGAACAGATTAGAAAGGTTTGACATGATTGTTTTGTTTGCGGACTGACGCCAATAGCATACATAAGTAGATACTACGCTGTTCATTTTGAGGAATTTATTAATAAATAATTTTTAGCAATCATATACTTAGCTTGTTTACTAGTCCACAATGTGACCAAACGATTGATCTGATATATTTTCAAACTAGACAAATTTGCACCTTTTTATATAAGAATGCACTTTCCCAACAAATCATGTTGGTAAGAAGTCCTCAATTGTGATTTGTTTAGAGCAGTGCAATTTTTTGTAAATACCAGTACAAAAATAGGCATTTGCAACACATTTCCTAAAATACACTTCCAAAAGCACCTTCTTTTGTCTACGTGTCGGTCCAAGGTATGTAGCTTTGAAAAAAAGCTGATGGTATGTATGTAAAACTCAACAGAATTAAGAATTTTTCCATGTTTGATACTAATAAGTAACAGCATACTTGTGCAATTTGGGAAACATGGATTCGTGAGTTTATCAACTACAGACTCGTGCAATTTTGATAGTCTTTGAAAAAATCACTTATCCATTCTTTTTTTCAAATTACAACGATGTTCTTACGTATACAAAGTGAAAATAAATGCTTAATGCAATAGTTATATTTGACAAATTTCCCCAAATGACAACCGTTGATATTTATTGCTATTTTTCTTTTACATTCTTTTATGATCGCGTAGGAAAGAACAGAGTTGGCTAATCGACAACTTTTAGAACAAAGATCTTTAAAAGAACAGTTGGAGGTATGTTTGAACTGTGAAAGATTAGGATTCTGACTTAAATTGATCAAGAAAAGGACAATCTAACTAGAAAAACGTGAGGGTTAGCACCTATGTCTATGTCTTTTTTGTCTTTCTTTGTTTTTTTTTTGGAGGGATCTTGCGCCCCATCTGAGCATCAAATTTGCTTACGAATTGAGCGTGGCATGCTCCCAGTAAGTGGATTTTGACGCACTTACTTATGTTTTGTTAAAATTTACCGATAGAGGAACAATTTTTGCCAAGAGGACGATGATTGGGGGTTCTTGCACCGATCAAACCCCAACCCCTCAAATGCGATGCCCCTGACTGCACCGTGTTTTGTATCGGAAGCAGGTGGTAAGAAGCTTTCTACTGCCATCCACTGCATGTGATTTTATTTGTTCATTGTAAAAATGTCTTGAAATTCGTTAAAAGTTGATTAATAGTATGGAACTTTAATCGTTTTCTTGAGGTAAATACGAACACTTTTTCACGAGGGTTGTACACATTTCTTGCAGGTGCACATACAGACTATTGGTATTCTTGTTTCTGAAAAGACCGACTTACAAACCACTTTAGCACAGATACAAAAGAAACTTAAAGTCAAAGATGGTAAGTTTGAAGTGGAATGTTTTTTTTTGTTTACCCTCATCTTGCATCCTCAAATCCGTTTGAAATGTCAAATTTTTTTGTAAATGCCACGATTTCTTTGAATACCAGTGCTTTCCTTAGGTTTAGAAATATTTTATCTTTTGAAACACAAGCGAGAACAAGCTGTTAATATTTTCTTCACTTTTCCCAGGCGAATCCTCTGAACTGACTGAACGAGTTCAAAAGCAGCGGCATCAATCTGCTGAAAATGAGCGAGTTATAGCAATGCAGAAAAGCAAAATCGAAAAATTTGCGGAGGTAATAGGTCTTCTTGCTGTTTGCATGTGACGTGACGATTTATTAACGGTGTTAGCGGTGGTCACTGTCCGGGAAAATAAATCAGTATGGTCAGTGCTTTGACAGTTTAAACCGCAGCTCGATTCACAAGACATTGTATGATAAGTGATAGAAACTTCTTTCATAAGGGTTTTATCAACTGTAGAGAAGACGCTATTCTTAATAAGCTTTAATGACTTGAGTATTAGAGAATCACAAAAATGCCTTTAATAACAAAGTCTCCAGGGATTGGAGACGAGTCAAATCTCTTTTAAACTGCGTATGTAAGAGAGATTCTCGCCACTATAGCAGTTTACTGGATGGCACCGTGTTTCGATGACACGTAGAGCGGCGGACTAGTATCACGAAGGTGCGAGTTCAAATCTCGTCCAAGTCACATGTTTTTCATGTGCATATTAAAAACCGTGTTAGGACTATTATATTATATATTCTCTGATGATGGCTTTGGAATAAAACAAAGTCTCCATTAAAACGAACATTCAACATTTGTCTCAATAACAAAATTTTCTAGTATATATCTCAATAACAAGATTTCATTTGGTGCACTTGTTTTATCTTAAACAGGAAAACAACGAGCTCCGAAAAGATCGCGATAGAGTTCAGACGATCAATTACACTTTGAGGTACATTAGCAATTATTTCAGTCAACATGTGCCCTTAAACCGGGTGGGCAAGAGTTATGATAACATGAGGTTTTTATTAGATGCATAATAGTCATGTACTTCCATGCTCTCCAGTTTCTTGATCGTGGGCAAATTACACCACTTTTTGATGTCATTGGTTTTGTCATCTGTTATTTCATAAAAGTGCCATAGAACAAATGTTGATTTACAAGTACCTGTCTTGGGCCGAAATGGTCAATTCTAGTTGGTTAATTTGCTTATGCTACGAAACATTAAGAATACAACTGTAGATATAACTTTAAATATAAAGCACTACTTGCCGCACTCCATTTTTCTAAAAACTTTGTCAGTAAATTATGGACTACTTTAGTACATCTTGCAAGTAACATTTTATTTACTTTCTTTTTCTCGTTAAACCGATCTGTCGTTTGGTTCACTTTTTCCAATAACGTAATATGAGCTCACAACTTTCTTCAAGAGAAACCTTTAAGATTGCAGAATTGCCCATGCTCAGCTTAGTGTATGTAAAGTGCAAATCGGATTGCCGAATTCCTTAACTGTGGCACAAAACAGGGCTTGAAAGTTCTTCAATTTTTTAAGATGAGCACTTGGAAGTACTTGGATTCAAATTTTCTCAATTGAATTGTTGTAAACATGTCATTGCACAAGTTTGTTTTCAAAAGTAAAGTTCACATTGTGTCTTAACCCTTTATTGCCCAATAAAGTATCTCGTGTGCTAAAGGTCAATGTCAAAAGTTTGAAGTAAACTGTCGTGGCACCTTTCAAGTTAAAGGAAAACACACCATTTGCCATTTACTCTTGATTCATTAGAAAGAGTTTTTTTTTATTTTGACGTTGTTCACAATGATATCTTACCTTAGTTGTGCTTTGTTTGCCACTTGAGGCTATCTTGTCTTTTTGTGTAGTCGTGAGAAAGAGGACTTAACTCAACAAGTATCTGAAATCAAAAATAAACTTCAACGCAAGATGGACGAATGTTTAATATTAGAAAGATCTCGGGACGAAAATACGAGAAATTGAGCGAGAAACAAGACCTTATTCAACAGGTTTACTTGAGTTTTCATGTATGCATTCTTATCGATGAAAATATTTTTTCCATATTTCAAAGGCATGTCTTGTAATTGTTTTTATTTAACCATCTAAAGTTTTGGCCAAGATACACGTGTTATCTACTACTTTTTTGTGTAGCTGACCAATAATTCTTCAACATCTGCGGTTCATGAATTAACTTCGGCACTTAAACTTGAAAATGCCGAACTTCAAGATCAATTACAAAAGGTATTTTGTATAAACAATAAAATTATTTAACTACTTATCACAACGATGGCAAGTCTAAATTATTGTTGTATGCAATAGCTCTCCTGCGATGGTTGTAGACTGTTCACCAGAATTACAAAAAAAATAAGTCAAGCGTGTTGTAGTAAATAGAGTACACTTCGAAGTTAAGTTTCCGGTCATATCTTTAAAAACGGGCCCTGTTTGAGGGCTGAAACTGGAAAAGCGCAAAAGACATTAACTTTTCAACGAGAAAGTTGTTTTGTTATTTTGTTTGTAAAAATACTTGCTCCTGCTTTGTAAAACCAAAAACTAAGATGGATTTAGGACAAGTAATTGCCTACAAAACAGCATTTCCAGTCCACTCACGAACAAAGGTTGACACATATATCAACTATTCTACTTTCACTGGCATTGGAAAAGGATGTTAAGCACAATGTAGAAATCTTGTTTTACAAAACGATTATTCTATTGTTCCGATTCGAAAAGTTGACATTTGCACATGAATTCATCAAGCGATCAGCGTTATATTTATGTATATTCTAATAAGCGAAGATTAAGTCTCTTCGTAAATATCATTGATATTTTGCTCAATTTTTGTCTGAAAAATAAATGAATTCTGAAAAATTAGTGAAATTAACAGTCATACTCCGTGGCACAGACATCTTGCCTTACGAACAAATGTTTTGAATCTACAAGCAATGTATATAGATTCTTTATACGTAGAATTATCCTCACATCAAATTCCCAGTTTTTTTAGTACAGCAAGTTACGATTTCATCCTATGAAAGCATTGCTACATTTCTGTGTATTAGAAGTATATTATAAGTAATTTGTTTGGTTTTCTATAAAAGCAAACAGAATCGCTGCAACGACTGGCTGCCGATAAAGGACAGACAATTGAACGACACAATCAAGAAATCGAACAGTATGAATTCAAAGTTCAGAAACTTGTTGAAATGGTTTGTGAACTATTTTCATTTATAGGTGCGTGCATCATACAAGCTGTCCTACTTTTTAAAATATTTTTCAGAATAAGCAGTTGGAGAAGCAAACTGTAGAATGGAGTGAGAAGAAAGACGATTATGAAAAAATCATAATTGAACTCAGAAGAACAATTGGTAAACGAATTTTTTTATTGTATTCTGTACAGCACGACAACTTGATTTTGGCAATGAAGCATATCTTGTTGTTTGGAGCACTAGTTTACTCTTGTGTGTTATGCAGCCCCTCCTCAATCCTTGATTACACGATTTGCACGAGAATTTCAATAGATTTTAATAAAAGAAAACCGCTTTTGCAAGCTTTTACATGTACAATGTAAAACCTGCAAAGGACGAATGATAAGAACCATCATTAACACGGTTTTTCTTTCCCTTCATGTTAACTTTTATTACGGGTCTTTGTAATAGGTGTGAATGAACTCCAGGCATTCGTTATTGATTTATATATCGTAGTTCTTTTTGTTTTATGGCAATAAGTTTTTTGTGAAGTAAAATAAATACATTCTATTTTATAACCATTTTCATGGCAATGAACTTTGGTACCTACATTAAATGATTATTTATCTTTTTAAGATGAATTGAAAGATGAAGAGGCAAGTCAACAATCCGAAGCGACAAAGCTTGCTGCACTTGAGATTCAAAAACTTGCAGAGGAAAAAGAAAAACTGTCATCCTTTCTACAACAGCAGGTGCTCAACTATTGATTTTTACTGAATTATAGGAATAAGGTAACTTCTCGTTGTAAAGAAATTAACCTTGGGTCTCAGTCTTCTAGCAACCGTTGGGTCAGTTCAGCAGCTTGAAGTTTATTGTGACTGCAAACGATCCAACGTAATGACAAAAACCTAACCAGTTAAAAGAAAAAAGTGAAAACTAAAAGTTTTTCAACTTTTTTGTTTTTACCAGGAAAACTGTTATATCACGAATGATTACGTTAACAGTACAATCGTATCTTTCTCATTTTATTCCAACAAAGCAATCTTTAGTTTTTGTGGCTTCTTGGCTCACGGGATTCGTTTTCAATTCAACTCGTTTTCATTCTCCAGTCATCCGATGTATAACCTTATTTCTCGGTTTCCGTTTTAGAGCGATCTTAATGATAAACTAAATGGGTAAGTTTTAACTTCTGCAGTTATAAATATTGGCAACATTGTTATTATGTCATTTTAAACTTACGTAAACGGCGTATGGACGGAACTTAATTCAACTTATTTGCCAAGATTTGCATTTTGTTGGCCTTAAACAAAGTGGCAACAAAGATCTAAAACTTGTCTAAAAGTTAAAATTTTGTGCTAGAATTAAATACTCTTTTTTAAACCTTCCTTGAAGTGCCTTTTTCCATTCTTATCGCCTTTCAAGACATTTTATGTGATTTCTTGCAAGCTAAACTAAAACTCGAGTTTACTGTACTTCACAGTTTTTCAAAAGATTGCTCTATTACAAAAATAGGCGCCCAAAAATTGTCAAAAAATCAAATTTCATATTTTATATTTTGATAACAATAATGACATTAGTTGTCTTTAACTTTAATTAGGCGCTTAACGCAACAGAATTTCTACCTTGCTAGGGAGGGCAGAGTTCCTGGTGAACACTTTTCTCGAAATTATTGATTGGTCTAATGAAACTCGAACTTTCAATTTAGAGAAATATCTACAAGTGAAGCAAAGTATGCTCAGCTGGAAAAGATGATGGTGGAAATGAGTCGGGAATCAGAAGATAAACGAGAACTATTGGATAGTATTCAGAGCGATAAGGAAACGATCAGCAAGTGAGTATTGCTGTTTAATTTTGAGGAATTTTCATTTTTCATATTTAAAAAGTTAGTGCAAAACAGATGATTTGGATTAGATTTTACGGCAATTTTTACGTGTGTTTTGTCTATTTGTAGAGCTTTGTCTCAAAATAAAGAGTTGAAAGAGCAACTGCATCAACTGGAGACGCGATTTATTGAAATGGTGAGTTTTTTAAGCATTTTTCACATTTAATCCTGTAATGCACTTGCTTTTAAACCTATACAGACTGGTAACAGCAGCCAGAAGCCCTGCCCCCCTCTCTTTGTCCAGTAGGACTATGTACATTGTGTGGAAATGGGAATTACCATAAACCTGTTAATACCTGAACTATCTGAAAATATACCGTTATTTAATGGCGATGTTTTGATTTCTGTACCTCAAAAACTTTTTTTATCGTGGAGTCCGTGACTGAATAGATGAATCAGAATTTGAAATAAAGTTCTTTTGTCTTTTGGACAGTCTTTTAAATTGTCTATGATAGAAATCTGTATTATCAAGTGGACATTTATTTCTTTATAGAGCAACGATAACATGGAGTTGACAAGCTTGCTTGACACTGAAAAGCATTCAAATGAGAACATGCGACAACAATTACGCAATATAAGTTTGGAGCTCGAGGAAAGTCAAAGTCAGGTAACAAAATCTGGCCACCTTGTTGTCGAGGGGTCTAAATTGGCTTTACAGCCTCTCGTAAGCTTGACAATCGTTTCACTAACAGTCTGACTGCGTATAGCTATTAATATTGAGCTTGTACTTTATTAGAGAGGCCTGTTTTTGAATAATTCTATTAATACAGTTTGTGATTTTGGAAAGTTATCATGAGAAGTATCTGTTCATTTGTGTTGTATTCTCGTCCTTTCTTTATAGTTATCTCAAAGTCATCTTGATCTCGATAATGTAAAGAAAAACTTACATGAACAAGTAAGTATGCTGTTATTTACAATTTGTTAGTGTTGAAAATTATCAAAAATATCCAATAAATGTTCGGTTGGATAAAACTTTTGCCTGTTTCTCCTTGGCATTGCATCGTAAAAAAATTGTTTTGGTCGAAGAAACGATAGTAAGTAATAATTTAAAGGGCTCCTTTCTAGTAACGGGTTCAGTATAGGTCAGAATACATTACGGACAATATATTTCAATTTTAAAATATTTTAGAGGGAATCCTATTCAACTGTTCTACGTATACCAATGAAAGAGTGTTTTAACATTTGTTATAAGTTTTTAACCGACAGGGTAGATATATACGCACATATTAAAGCATTCCAAATTTAAAATGAGCTATTTACTTTTACCCATCCTAAGAACGCCACTGCTCATTTCAAATATTTCATCGATTAAAATATATAATATTTTTTACTTAGATTGAATTGAACGAAAAGCAGCGAGAATACGAAGCTGAAAAGCATCTTACTGATGTTTTACATGAGGAATTAAAATCTGCTCGGGTATAGTGAAGTATTTTGTATTTACTTATACTCTTTGCTGGAAGTTTTCCCAACTTTTCAGATTTATAGACACTCTAACATATGAAAGACCATCATCCATTTACTGCGGTCTATTTCATCTAGGAATGATTGACTGTTTGCTACGATTGAACACATATCTATACTATACTCATATGACAACACATAGCTACGTGCTTTGCTTTTACGGTCTTTATTGTGTGTTGTGTATTGTATTGTTTCATACGTGTATAATCGTGTAACTTATTTATATTACTTATTTATATCGAGGTGATAAATTTGAATATTATTATACTTAGGTGTATGAATCCATTTCAGTAGCAAACTTTAATGTGGAAAAAATGCACGAGTCCAATATTTATCATTTTGCTTCTTTTCTAGACTACAATCGATCAACTCTCTTATCAAAACAATGAATTGAAGCAACAAATGAACTCTGAAAAACGCATTCAACTTCTTCAACACGAGAGTAAGTTTTACTTTAGGATTTTGATCACATGCGCATACTTCTTTGCTACTAAATAAATGACCTACAAAACGATTGTATTTGCTCTTGCATAATAAGCAGTTGTCAGTCCTTGCTCTGGATTCCCCATTGAGTTAAACTATTATACGCATTTAGCAAGCAGTTTGTAATTTTAATTATCTTCTGTTATTTTCATCAATTGTTTGATAAAACATTCCAAATCCTGTTTACATTGCGTGTGGCGTAGTTTTTCATTTGAAATAATTTTGCATAAGTGACTACTCAAACATTTGAAGATTATTGTTGTTCATATCTACCGTAAACTCCGAGAGATTTTTTGACACGAAAGAAATTTCATAGAAGTTTTTATACTTTTTATCGTTTATTTGGATTGCAAACATTACGTTACCTTGTTTTGTTCAGACATGAATCCACTGGGTATTGTTACCGACGGTGAGAACGCCAGTCAAATGCCGGATCTCGTTCTCAAAACTGGAGATGTCCGTTATGAAAGCGAACCAAATGTCAAGCCTGACACGTCTGACGACGAAAACAGCTGGACAAGTGAGGATAGTGAGCCTGCAATATCTCCACGCAAGACCCTCAGCGATCGAGAGGATTTGGTGAGAATATTATCTTGTGTTTAAAGCATGTCTTCTACTGATCATTCCTTTATCATGTTGCATGTTTATAAGGTGAAATTTTTCAAGGTTGAGTGGTAAGTCGAACTTAAAGGGTTCAGGCTTTGAAATGTAGGAGTATTTTGAGCCAGATATACTTAACTCAGATGAGACTAAAAATCCTAGGACCGATAAACTACAAATTATACAACGTTTCGCGACCTAAACGGTCTTGAGACCGTGCACGTTTATGTGGTGGATTGACCAAATTAAACCGGTAGCTCCAATACCATGCAGTGATAAGCGGTTAAGGTGCTAAATAGCCTTCATGCAATTTTTTTAGCGTTTTAATATTTTACGACTTAAACGTCATTCGTACAACCCATCCCCCGTTGAATATTTTCTACGAACCTGCTGTTTACCTCTGAACAACCGAGTCTTTAAATCGTGGTAACTTCAATCGATATAATTTGGTGGTGGAGGGGGGGAGGGTAGTTTATGCACCATTTGATATATTTATGACAAATTTTTTGTCCAATCGCGGTGTTTCTTAACTTAATTTCATTAGAATGCTTTAGTAAACACAACGTGTATCACAGCGATTATGAAATTTGGTGGTTATAAAGTGAACTAATCATCGTACTTGTTTTCGGTTATATGTCTTGTTTGCCTTAGCATTTGCAGCGATTAATAGATTTCTTATCGTGTCGCCAAATTCTGGCAAAGTATATGACAGGATATAGTTTTTACTGATTTCCAAAGCTCGTAACTTGTAGGAAACTGCAAAACTTGTGGAAGGAAATTTGTGTCTAATTCTTTAGACAAAAAATTTTCAAAGTACTGAAATACTACAAAATAATATTTGAGCAAATATTTTTCTGGATGAAGTCACGAGCCTCGTTCTCGTTCCAGTTGTGTTTTGCTAGAGCTTGCTTTTTTATTGATTGTAATGACATCATTATCAATTGAAATCAGGAGTGTTTTCTGTATGATTTGTATATAATTTTACACAATGCAAAACTGTCTTTATTTTTGTAGGTGGATTCGATGTCAGCGTCTATAAGGCAGTTGGAAATGGAACGAGATCAACTACGTCATGAACTCAATGGAATTGCAAAGCGCACCGAAGCGGAGATCAACCATCTTCAACAACACATGGCGCTGCAGATTCACCAAGAGGTTCAACAGCGTCAGCGCGACTTACTCGAGCAAGTTCACGAACAGCTACAGGAGCAGCAACAACAAATCAACGCCTTACAGATGCTTGTTCAAAAACAGAAATTGCAAATCGAAAATCAGGACGTCGCCTTGGACGAACTGAACTTGGAGAACTCCTTCGTGCCATACGAGCTTCTGAAACCGGCGTTTTCCAAGTTGCAGGTAAGCATACATCCACGTAAGTTTCGTTGAAATTTGCTCGAATGTAGCGCTGTACGTACAACCCCTCCTTAAATTGTAACATTTTTCTCAAGACAGGGTTGAATACTTCACTTAATGACAGAGTGGACTTGAAATTCGAGCATGCGCATTACACTCCAAACCTTGAAAAACTTGATGCAGGAAATCAAGTTTGAGAAACAATATGGCGGCGTACGCTAGTAAATTTCGTTTTAACAAATATAATTGATTTTGGAAAAATATAAAAGATGAAAGCAATGTCATGTTCATGATAGGTTGTTTGATTTACTCATTTAGTTTAAAACCTATTAAAATAAAAAATTATCGTATCTGAACTGTTGATAAAAAACATCAATCAGAAGCGGTGATGTACATCTCGTTGTTGGGTGCACAATGTTTTAAATAAGTTGACAGTTTGCTATTTAAATCAACATTTAAGTTGAAATTGCATAAAGTGATGGTGTTCATTGATGGTCGACATTTTTCATCTTATACAAATCCTTGTGTAATTATAGAAACGATTTTTAAAGCTTATGGACGAAAAAGCTGAATTATTGGAGAAAGTGAACGAACTAGAACACGTTTGTCAGCAATTATCAGCTGAAACTGAAACAATAGGTATAAAGTTTTTTAAGTGTCGTCATTGAAAACGATGCAATTGTTTTGTAATTTCTTTGTTTGTAGGGGAATACATTTCGTTGTATCAAATGCAGCGAACTGCCCTGAAAAAGTACTATCACGAAAGAGAAAAACTGATTACTACTTTGTCAAACGAACGGTCTCAAATGCAGGTTTGTTTGTGAATGAAACGTGCGGCACTCGGCACAATCTTTGAGTTTCGTTTATCATTTTATAAAATGTACGACTTGTGCTCTGATTGGTCGATGCCTGTGTTTGATTAAGCTATCTAAACAGCGAAATTTAAACTTCTCTCGCATGAATTTTAAACATGTTGGAGAATGAAGACGATTTTGTTGTTATTTTACATAGCAATTACTTAACTTTTTTCAAGTATTGCATAAAGCCTCGACTCCAGCAAAATTCCTGTGTTTTTGGATCAGGCTATCCAAGCACGGACTTTGTTAAATAATTATTTAACCATCATTATGCACTGCAGTTGAAGAGGCCATATCACACTATACGTAATAATAACGATAAACAGAATCGCCCTTCTCGCTCTTGTATAAAATACACATTTGTGGTCACACTAACGCGATTACCATAAAAACATCGTTGGACGATTGCGATAACGATTTTAGAATCATCTTTGCACGATTTTTTGACAACGACAACGATAAACTTTGCCACTAATCAACAACATCGTTTCCTTCTATGGTTTATCCATTTTCGTTGGCATTTTGCAACCACGTATCCCATGCCAACATGCGTTGTATAGTCTTCTCAAATTTTTCAGATCATATTCTTAAAATCCGTCAGTTAAATTAGAGCCTAACTTCCTTATTCATTTCTTTTTTTATAGGCTAAAATCGCGGAATTGCAATCCTTGGTTTTTCAAAAAATACACATGGGATCAAACACTATTGAAGAAAAAGTGACCGCCCAGACATTAAGCAATCAAGTAGACTTAGATCTGGAACAGGGAGCACTAGAAAGTAAGAAAACTGCATCCTTGAATGGTCCGATAAATTCCGATAAGGTATCGAGTGACTCATCGCTTGGACTCAATGAAGTAAATCTGGAAGAATTTTGCGAGAAAGACAGCACCACTCAACAAATTCTACAAATATTTAATCAGCTAAATGTATCCGATGAAGAAACACCCGCGTGCTGGTTCTCGCCTGCCGCTCCCAAACCTCAATTCACACCCTTTTTTCTGCATTGTCGCAGTAAAGTCGTTGACTTATAAAATGAAGTATCGAGGTATACTGGATCGTGTTGTAAACGACAGCCTTTGATGTACATTGCTTCACAGAAACATAGAACTTTGTTTTTGCATTATTACGTTCTGCATGTTTTAAATGTACGTTTGTATACAAAACGAGCTGAAACTTCAATCTGTCGTGGAGATTGTCGGTCAATCGCGCATATATTTATTTGGCATGGTGAGGGTAAAGGGCTAGCATAATCATTTACACGAGTTTAAAAAAAATGGTTTTACGTCTTTATGTTAACAGGAAAGTGATTAACGATTAAATGACAACACGAAACTCGTTACGATGATTTTACTTAAAACTCTCTAACATCTTTATCTGAATATCTATACTCTAAAAAATTCTATTCAATAATTCAATAATCTTGAAGCAGCTGCTTATTCTACTCTATCCCACTAAACCGTACCCACTACTCCTCCGTTAATTTTCGAGGCAAGCCAATTTGTTGCGCTACACCATATCGACAATTTTTTTTGCTAAGGAAATGAAATTCTATCACTGAAAATATACACTTAACGTTTGCTCACGAGAGAAATGGTGAGTTTTGTTTTCCGAGTGTCTCGATGATGCTTCCCAATGTGACCCGGTTGTTACGTCACAGCCGCCATTTTGGCTCTCACATACAGAAGAATATTTTATCAATATAGTTGTGGACACCAGCTGTCGTGGGCGAACCACATTGTTTTATAATTCTATGGAGGTTGTTATTATTCTCGATATTAGAGCATATGTGACTGTGATACGTCACGTGTGTAACTTTGCTAAGTCCTTTTAATAAGTGTTACATGATGTTTGTTAATTGCCCGATTCAAAAACCATCTTCACTTTAACATAATGACTGAATTCTGAAAACATTGATAGTGCAACCGCATAAAACAAGGCCGTAGCCATAAAGTTTCAATGGCGGGAGGGTACACATTTGATCAATAGGGACTCGTATAACTCAACTATATTTCTGGAATTCAAATAACTTTTTAATAATGCATGGGGTGCACGTGCCCCTGGTTACGGGCGTGTAAAGATACAATCGCATAAATATGGTGTGAAGTCCCTAAGAAATCAAATGAAGATCGTTTCCAAAATAATTATTTTCAGAGATGAAAGAAAGCCATTTCGACCAAAATTTTTAACGCTCTTGATGACATTCCATTGCTAGAGCTGTGCTGTTTCATAATATTTTAAACTACGGCCATTTTTTCATTAATGAACACACACCAGCCTGTTGGATTTGCAGTACTTTTAATTGAGACACCTGTCTTTATTGCATTGTTACCTTTGCTTGTTAAACTAGGTAATGAACATGAAAAAAATTTTTCTTTGTTAAATTGTGAGCGCATTATACTGGAGATGGAATGCCATGTTTTTTAGCAAGCAATTGTATTTTTGAGTGGACACAATTTACGTCGACGCAGGCAAGTAGAACCCATTTACCATGGATGTCTTTTTCGTGGTCGTACGCACTTCTTTCATGAAAAAGACGAAATTTATTGAAAGTCATGGCTTCACCAGACTTTATCTTATACCAAAATGATGATTTGTTATGAATCACTAGCTCTGTGAAACGTTTGTATGCTTAATGATCTGCGAGCATTATGTGGTTCTTTGTTCGTTATGTGGTGCTTTATTCGTTATGTGGTGCTTTATTCGTTATGTGGTGCTTTGTTCGTTATGTGGTGCTTTGTTCGTTATGTGGTGCTTTGTTCGTTATGTGGTGCTTTGTTCGTTATGTGGTGCTTTTTCGTTATGTGGTGCTTTGTTCGTTATGTGGTGCTTTATTCGTTATGTGGTGCTTTGTTCGTTATGTGGTGCTTTGTTCGTCATGTGGTGCTTTATTCGTTATGTGGTGCTTTGTTTGTTATGTGGTGCTTTATTCGTTATGTGGTGCTTTATTCGTTATGTGGTGCTTTATTCGTTATGTGGTGCTTTATTCGTTATGTGGTGCTTTATTCGTTATGTGGTGCTTTATTCGTTATGTGGTGCTTTATTCGTTATGTGGTGCTTTATTCGTTGTGAGGTGCTTTATTCGTTATGTGGTGCTTTATTCGTTGTGAGGTGCTTTATTCGTTGTGAGGTGCTTTATTCGTTGTGTGGTGCTTTGTTCGTTCTGCGCTGCTTTGCTTGTTTTGTGGTGATTTATTTGTTGTGTCGTATTTTTTGTGCTGCTTTTTTCTTACGGGCAGTAAGTCATTGCAACGCGTGTAATAATGTATTATGTGGTAATAAAATAAATGACGACACCGAATTATTAAATATACAATATATTAGCATTTATACATGTTCCTTAAACTGTAGTGGATTTTAATGTAATTATATTTTTATCCTTTTATGTTTAAATTCCTCTTGTATCATAATTTACCACCTACGCTACATTCTGTATCACTTGAAGTTTTATCAAAACTGATTCATACTGATATTATATACTTTATATAATATGAATAATTATATTGATTTCGTGAGGAAAAAAATTTTTCTACCATTACGTACCGATCTCACATGCGTCGTATCACACATCTCTATCCACTCGCTTAAAGCATTGAGCACTTGAATGAATTTTTGTTATATTTATGTTATGTATTAATGGTTTTACGTTTTTACAAACATTACCGGAAGTTTGAAATTCAATACGTCTTACACAATCTTGACTCTTACTCAAAGCACCACTCCATAAAAATGTAAATGGCGACTACGAACGATTCAGTTACCTGTAGTCCCGTAGGAAAATATTGAGGGATCTGGGCTTGCAATTAGCCATTGAACGATCTGAGGCGGAGAAAATCGATCAAAACATTGCCCATAAAATGCAAAATGCAAAATGTATTGCTCTAGAACGCTGAAAATGGCATTTTCAAAGTTTTGAAATTCAAAATTTGTCATGGGGAGAATGCCTCAGACCCCCCTGGTGCGGGACGCCTCCGACGTGTTATGACTGATGTTTGAAAAATCCTGCGTACCGTGTTGATACAAGAAAAGCTGCAGCTAAGATTTTGGGTTGAAGCACTTACAACAGCCGTGTATTTACACAATAAAAGCCCCACAAAAAGTCTGTTGAAAACTGGATTCAAAAGCTAAGAAGTGTGTTCTGCTGGAATATGGTGCACAAACTAAAGGTTATCGTTTGTTTGATCCAGATTGTTTTAGAGTCATTTTTAGTCGTGACGTCAAATTTAATGAAAGCAGTATGGTTTGAGAAGGAGCCTGGAACAAACGAGAGTCCACCTGGACTTGTGATATTACAGCTTTCGGATGATGACGAGAACAATGACGATGGTGAAAACAATGTAGTTAATGATGCACCACTGGTTCTTCCTGTAAGACAATGACGCCCACCCAGTGGTCCATCCACACATCTTGCAATGATGAAGTTGCTTGCAGTAAAACTTTTACTTAATGATTTCCAAGCATATTTTTTGCATCCATCTGATTCAATGTTAAAAATTCATGCATTTTTAGATCCTTCTCATGTGATCAAGCTTGTCAGATGAGCAATTGCTGAATGACAACTCTGAAGGATGGAAATGATGGTTTGGTAAGGTGGCAATATTTTATATGAATGTTTCATGCAGTGCGGTGTTTGAAATTGATGAAGATATGATCTTCGCACTTTGTTGGACAATTTAAGCAATTGTCTCATAAACCTGAAAAAATCAGGTGACTCAATGGGATTCGAACCCATGACCTCTCAATATTAACCTGCTCACCACTGTGTGACTTCATAGCTAAGTTGGTCAGAGCACTGCACCGGCACCGCAGAGGTCATGGGTTCGAATCCCGTTGAGTCACCTGAGGGTCATGTTATAAATGAAAATCCTCCACTTAAATATTTTCTTACTTAAAAAACAAGTCGAGATCATTTAGAAGTAGACTAAAAGATCGGTGTGACAGTGACCAAATGTCGGCAGATATTTCCAATTTAACTACTGCAAGAAGATAGGGATTTAACTACTGCAAGAAGATATAGAACTACTCCGGCACCTGGAACTGCGTGTGCCAGAGCAAACCGACCACGATTATTGGGAGACCGCCAACTGTATTCAGCTTTCAGAGTACAAGGAGGCAGCAATATCGTATATCGCAGGATATGTCGCAAAAATGGTGAAAACGAAGGTCCATTGTGATGATTGTATTAATGCTCTGACGTCATCTAAAGAAAGAGAACCAGAACTATTTATGGCATAGAAGAGCAACGGTGGTTTAAAAATACCAACTGACAATCTTCTGAAAGTGTGTCAGGAAACAGAGAAATGCGTGATGAGGATGGTGAACTCCTGTCATGGTGGCTTGTTAGATGCAGCAAACATATCGAATGCAATTGCTGCGACAGTATTATATGTGTGTGTAGAGAAAAAGGTTTTTAGCATGTTAGATGAGAATGTGTTAGAGTCGACAGTTACAAATAATCATGCATTTAAACTGATCAAGCGTTGCGTTGAGGCATTTGTGAAAATACGAATGCACCACCTGACCAAAATATAAAACGACAAGTTGCATGGTCAAAAAATTCGTAAAAACCTGTCTAAGCTTGTGTTTTTCAATCATCAGTAGATTGAATGTTGCCTGGACACTATTGTGTTTTCGAGGAATTGCCTGGTCCTAAGATTGGAATTTTTCATTAGAATATTCCATTTTTTTTGAGGCTGTAGGCATCCTGGCACATAGCAATATGTGTTTCGAGGAGAAATGTAATGGTGCCTGCACATTTGTGTTCGAGGAATTATAATAATGACAAACAGAACTTATAATAATGACTAACATATCTATAAATGTGAAATGAAATGCATCCATGTTTCTTTATCAAATTGTTTATTAAAGAACGACCAAAAGTGATAAACTTTTTCTCACAATAACTCTGTTTTTTAAGAAAATTTGAAGGAAAAAAAAGCATCCGCTCCATACAAGAACGCGGCAACAAAACCCGAAATCTATGAAAGAATAAAGAAGTATTAATACTTTTACTACCCATAACAGCTGACTTTGGGAAATTGATATAGATTTGACGACTCTAGGCCGCATACCAAAGTTCTCAAAAACAAAACTTTTGCTGCACACTTCTCTAAACTAATAATTTCCTTCATAATGTTATAAGGAATAATGCAAAAGCAATCAATCAATGTGGCCCCAAGCGACAATTGTGCACAATAAGCAGAAATTTACATTTTATTCATGATGACGTCATCAATAGTTATCAAAACCAAAAATGTGCAAATTCCAAACATTCTCAGTACCATTCTATAGGCTAGTATAAATTGAGTAAAAAATATTCTTTTTTCTAAATGTAT